TGATACTAGAGATGTGTCAGCAGTTCCTTTTCTCCGATGCGCTTTCCGGGGACCGCACTGAGTTGGTAGATGTTGCCGTATCGACCGGTCCATTGTTGGGCCTTGCGACCTATCAAAAGTTAGTATGTGTGAGCCGCATAATGGAGGGCGAAGGTGCAGCGACTCACAACTAGAACGGCGAGAAGCAGCATCAAAATGCTAGCGAGATCTACACCGGCCCTCATCACGTTAATGGGAAATAGACAAAGTCCATTACAGAGGGGCAGATCGAGGGTAATTTATATCTCTTGGGTCTTGGAAATGGTATATTTCAACAGTTATAGCTTCACACGCAGGGAATCTTAAATTGAGCTATACGGGCACAAATGTGCTGTCCCAAAACTAAAAGTTGATTCTTCCGCTGACATCAATTTTCAATGTCGTTGGCATTTCTTTGACGCCAGTGATGCCAACATATTGATGCACCACTCGTCGTTCTTCTCTATTTCTTCTACTTTTATGGATTGCCACGCCTTCTAGGTAAATTGGCACCTCACAAATATGGTCATAGAGCCTTGATGATATAAAAGCGCTTCGCAGCACCACCCGCCAAAGCCAGGTCTTTGGATACCAAAGTTGTTTGATCATGTTCAGGTCTCTGCTTACAGTCATCGCTATCCTCGGTCAAGTTCAAGCCCTTGATCTTAGGCCCCTCATTCAATCTACATGTAATACAGTCAGCACATGGCACCAAGCTATGGGAGGAAGCTTGAATGCCACGCTTTCAACTTCTGGACACACACAATCAGTCTCCTTGTCGTCTTACTGCGAGACTGAGATGGAAAGCGCACTCAGTAGATGTAGGTATCATACTACCCTCGCATTATACCTGCCTGCTAATCTTTACAGGTGCTGATGGCCCTTCCATCGATTGTCGTGGTATTGCAGTCTCCCTGGACGGTCAACTTCCCCTGATGGCTTCGGTGAGGCAACATGCAGAAAGGGCAGCTGGTGATGAGGTTCCCTCGCAACAGCAGGGCAATTGTTCATGCCAATCGCCGCCACTGAATAAAGAGACTACGAGACGCGAGCGAGCTCCGGAATACATCAAGCTTTGCGAGCATCTCGATATCCCCAAATGCACCTAGCGAGACACATGACCCCACCACAATACCCTCGCCGAAGGGCTCTGGGGAGCTCGACCTGAATACCTGCCTCATCAAGTAAGCCACTCTTTGATATGAAATTCAAGTTGTGTTGTCTAATCATATCTTTAGGGAGGCGGACCATCGTGCGGGTGGTCTTTGTCATTGCGCCTCTGGGTCAGCAAAGGTATTTGACTCGGCGGAGTGTACCCTAGTCCATTGAGATAAAAGAGGCTGCACCTCACTTGTCAAAAACTAGACGCCACGTGACGTGGCCTATTTGTCACCATGCGATGTAGAACCCTTGATGGTGACCAGAGAGTGAGCTACAAGTATCACGCCATGTATTGAATGGAAGAAGAGTATATAAATCAGAGAATAGTTGAAGTTATTGAAATTCCTCGGCCTATGGAACTGACTATCTAATGTGTCAGGCTGTAAAATATGAATAACGATCAGTGCCGGACACTACCAAGCGCATGTCTAATAAAAATCTTTGATCGAACCACAATGCACCTCACTAAATGAAGAAGTGCAATACTATTTATCCCTAAGAACTATATAAGATAGATACTATAGGCTTGCTCACTTCAAGCTAAAACGTTGCCGTTTACAGGACCATGCTCTGAGATATGATAGATCATTAACATATGAATTCTTACATGCCTCACTCATACCATCTCTACCATAACATGCCCCCTCTATACCGTGAGCCTCTTCAAGGCCTTGGTGAAACCCGAATTCGATACCTCCTTTCCCGTCAAAGCTCCTCGTCACCATTACGCGGATCCCAAAGCCACGCAATTTGCTCCTGTAACCATATTTCCGCTCTAGCCATCTGCTGGCCTTTATCAAGCATCTTTCTCTTACCCCCAGCGCCGTTTTGTGAGGGTGCAATAGCGTAGGTAGTATGCTCATTTTGTCTAAATTCGGCGTGTAGCACCGACAACGGATTGTGCAGATAATGAGTGTAGCACGTATATGGGGAAATGGATCGTTTGTCCCTCTCATCGGTCTGGACGTTGAAGTTATTGTTGAATAGGCCAGTCGAAAAGTCGTTCATAAACGAGTAGTGGATTGGTAGGTCTAATCTTCGTGTATTTCCTCCAACTGTCATGGTCATGACACCGAACGGCGGCAGTATGTCAGCTGGTGAAGCAGTAACCACAGCATTATGAGCCCGGGCTGCCGAGGTGGCTAGAGGACTCGGTCTGAGACTCCCAGGGTCCACGTCCATGCCGTCTGTGGCCATCATGGCCCGATCATCATCTGCTCTAGTCGGGCTTTCGTCGCGATGTGGAACTTCAATGTTGTCGTCAGGAGGATCACCACCGGGCGTTTGACTATTGCTATTCCACAGATAGCCAAAGAACGCCTTAAAAACAGACTGTCGGAGAAACCCCGCTGTCACTCGAACTGAGGCTTGACTTTGCCGCAGCGACTCTGCGGACAAAGCGAATCGATCTGCCTCGACAGTATTCGAGTACGGCTTTCCACATCTTTTCGCAACTTCTATTTCTTCGGCTAAGTCTTCTGGGTATTCGCACACTCTAGGGGAAGGTAGCTCCCCTGTTGCAAATGACGTGTCGTCTGTGACGGGTGCTTGGAAACCCCTCGCTCTCACCAGTGTAAAGAAATGGCGCCATATTTCCTGCTTGGGGAGAAAGAACAATCCGGAGCTCCGTCGACCAAGCATATCCTCGGGATCAGCGTCTGTCGGCCATTTAAGGCGTTGGTGATCGGTCATTTCAAATCCGTACTGGAAGCTGAAGCGCCAAAATTCGAGTAGGTCGGATCCCAGCCATTCCTGTCTCAGCGCCGTCGAGACGGGAACGGGAGTGTCATACTTCCCATACACACCCTGGTCGATGGTAATCTTTTCCCTTCGCGGCTGGACGAACAGCCTCTTCATGACACATTGAGCCACATCGAGATAGAGCCGATCTTTGAAAAATGTTTTCAAGGTTGGAATTGGATAATCGATCTCTTTCAAACGCGCCCATATGTCCTGTTGAGCGCCTTCCGAGAAGTTTGGAAAAAGTCGGCCCTCCTCCAACTCGACTCGCAACGAGTTCAAATCTTTACTAGAGAATTTAGGGACGCAAGATTGAAGCAGCTCGACCGTAACTCCGTCAATCAGCAATAAAAGCTCGTCTCTTCCTCCAACCAGTCTCAGAAAAGTGGTGAAGATCAATTCCCAGTAGCATGCTACTGGCTAGATTTGCAATCAAATTAGCTGGGATGGAACTGGCTTTGTGGTTCAGAGTAAACTTACCTCGTCGCAATGCATGGCTGTCAGTTTATGAAGTAGCCCGATCCGCATCCCTCCTCAGAGACCCGGAATAACGAGCAAAGAATTTAGCTTTTGGTGTAAGGTCTCGTGTTTGAAAAATTGCTTCAAATACTTTCCTTTCTTGCTTCCCGCGAGGGCCTCCAGTACAGCCCACCAGTTATTCGCAGCAAGCGGATCCCTGGGCGTATCGAGGTAGCCTTCGTACCGGTTAATCCGCTCGTAGATCAGTCCATCAGGTGGGCGATTGTCGTTTGGATACCGCTCCTTCAGCGATTGGATGAATTTGTGGCGAACAGACTCCGCTTCATTTCTGTGGTCGTCTGATGACACTATAAACTTATCAACGAGGATCTCTGAGAGCTGAAACTGAGCAAACGCACCTTCCTCATTATCTGTTAGATAGACATCTACGATCCACCACTGATTGTCGTGGCCAAGGAAATTCCTTGCAGCTGTTATGAGGTTCTCGTGGTCGTATGCGCACAGCCTATAGTCCAGCTCCATATCCAAGCTAGGAATGATTCCACCGCCAGATCGGGGCTGCACGCGATCTTGCCAATGAGCCCTGGGGACTATCACCGGCACGTGGTTGTCCCTCATCAAGCGTTGACAGCCTTGCATCTTCATCATTTGTGTCAATCGACGGATATTCTGCCGGCCGTCCATCCGTCTTCCGAACCCACTCTCGAAGACGAGGTGAGAGATGTGCACTCTGGCAGATAGCTCGAAATGACTTTCTCGATAGTCATATAATTTTCGCTCCCAATGTTCAACTTCTGACTGCCTAGAAAATGACATGACGGGGGCTAGTACAAGTCAGCTGCGATTCACAGGTGAGGAGGTGTATGGAATAACGAGAAAGACAACTTAGATGTCGAGGGTCACTCCGTGCAGTAGTATTTATACCACCTTAATTATTGAATCTATCTGAGAATAATTGTGGGCCGATGATCTGACGCGCCAGCCTGATCACTTGTAATTGCATGCCCTCACATTCCGGTGGTTAATGCTGTCAATTCTCTGCCTGCCTTCAGAACACCTATGTATTATGGATCCCCATTCTCTGGTAGTTTATCTGACACATTTATCTACTACTGCCCATAGGATGAGGCGGAAAATTGCGCCGGCCTCAGTTAAATTTGCAGAACACTGCCCACACGGGTCAAGTTGACCATATCTGGGAAGTTTATATAAATGCTTCCCTGAATTGCGATACAGTATGGTTCTCAATTGTTCTCTCGATCTCAAAGTCTATTATTCGGTCAAGTTACAATCCTTTAGCTTCTCGCTTCTGAAGTCATGAAGCTTTCCACCAAGAGCAGACTAGATTCGCTAATTTCAACCACAGCATTGTCATTTTCCGTCGCTGCTCTAGTCTGTCTTTATTTTATCTTTGTCGGATGTTCGTCGTCTTCCTCGCCGAAGGGTCTACATTTTCTAAAAGTAAGATACGTCCGAAAAATTCCCAATTAGTGCGCTAAACAATCAGCAGGTAAACCTGAAGGGATTTCCAAAGCTTCATGGTTTGGAAATTCGAGACTCATTCAATATTGACAATACGCGTATCGAAAGTGGGGAAAGAAATGCCGTCGAAGACGTGGCGTCGAGCGTCCATACCGGCGCGAATGAAGCAATCCATGAGGCAACGTCGGCTGCCAGCAGCATGATTGAAACCCAGACACACGGCTTGAGGTCACATTTGCCTCAATACTATTTGGTTGGCCTCTGGAGCTACTGTGAAGCCAAGGATGGCTCGGAGATGGTTTGTTCCGACCCCAGCACCTCTTTTACTTTTGATAAATTAAGCTTTCCTCGATGCTGATTACAATTGTGGTCACGGTGATGTATGGGCTTTTTGCTTCCAGGTCAAGAACACCCTGCAGCCTTACGGCGTTGAAGTTACCCTTGGGGCTAAGATGTTTACCACAGCATAGTTGGCAGTGTTCTTTTCTATTGGTGGTTCAACCATATAGTTGGTCCATCTTTTCTGCTGTTGCATCTAATTGCCAAGCCCGTAGATCGTCATTTCGCTGGGAGTGTGTGGGAAATGATATATAAGGACGGTGGCAGATGGTGGAGCTAAACATTGCCCCCCTCTATGGTGCACATTCTGTGGTAATCGGAACTTCTTGATAGCTGCGTCTGATTCATGAGAGCTTTGTGTTGGTGGGCTCCTACATGGTGTATGAGCTTTTGGAGAGAAATACTGTGGTACACAAAGTACATTATGATTTTCACACGGCTATATAGAATTACAGAAATTCCGCCTTTGAAAATATCACTATAGTAGAGTGACCAGTCGTGCTCGTCCATCTTCCCAGGCGACGATGCCAGGCTAGTAGTTCCACCATCATCTTGTACCCTGCAATGAGGCTTGTGGGTCGGTGTACATTCTCCTGATGGGCTCGAAGACAACGCGCGCTGAGTGTGATTCATTCACTGAGCAGAACTCCTCGCATTCCGCTTGGGCTTCGCATGCTCTTTCAACCAGATTACAGATTGTGTTCTGAAAATTTCGGAGAAGTTGATGGACAGAATTGGTCGAGCGCTCGGTGCCGGATTTGTAAAGTCTTTGTAGTTCGGTGAACGTATGTTCTGTGAGCTCTTGGAGTAGCTTGAAAAGGGAATAGCAATCGCGATAATAAGCATTATGAGCTTGTTGTTGACCGATCTGGCGTACAATCTGTACAATATCTTCCATGGTGCTATCAGGGAAGAGAGGTAGAGAATCACAATCGACTCTCAGGAGCTGCATTTGCATAATGAGAGACACCAATTACATAGTCAGGGAGGTCTGTCGGTCGGTTGGTCAGATTGAATATCGATGAGGAGTTTCTGGCAACTCAACATAAACGTGGTCACTTCTGAGGCGCCGGCCGTTGAGGTGGGTGGTCATTACAGATATGATGGTTCCTCACCGTTCTGGTGATCAACACCGTACCCATCATTATTCCAACACTTATGTTTTTGCAATACCTCACCCACGGTCAATGAGTAAAATCTGAGTTTCACTCTTGTCTATAAAGCCAAATGCTCGCCCGAGGAATGCTGCCTCAAGAGGGCCGGTGCTTACCCCAACTTTACACAATGGACACTCTCGATTACCAAAACCTGCGCAGCTGCGCCATCGGTGTCATCATAGGCACGCTTGGATTCTCCTACTTTGTCATTTATCTACTGATGTTCTTGATCTTCCATTTCCCCTCATCTCAACAGTCAATCCCATACGCTCTAGCAGTGATGGCGTTTGGTGGAGGAAGCGCCATATGGTATCTGTGTGTCATCTTTCAGAATAGCTTTAGTGCATTCCAGAGGGGGAAAACGACGAAAGAGCAAGATTCCGTGTGGTTTGGCGGCTTATTCCTGGTCTGGACGGCAGCTCTTCCCACGATCGCTTTTCTCTTTCCAGCCCAACCATTGCTACAACTTGGATATGCATCAGCTTTCACAATGATCGCGGTTGGAAGCCTTTCGGACGGCTATCTCAAGGACATGGACATGGGGGCATTTTCCACCAGATTGTCTCTTCAATCTGCCTCAGTGGTCCTGTTGGCCCTAGTACCGTCCATTCACGCATTGGCCGAGCCGCTCCACGCTCCCTCTCCACTGGCCACTCATTCGGCAGACTGGTACTTCTGAACCTCTGCGGTTGTGCTCTGTACGCTTTGCCCCCCCCCTTGAGAGAATTGGAATGGTCCAGTTCTGGCAGCTCAGTCTCCACGGCATGTACTTGGTCCTGACATATAGCCTCGTGGAGTATTCCAAAGCGGTGTTGCAGGTAGCAATTCCTTATATGTCTTGATATCGAGAAGTGTGTGGAATTATGGGAAATAGTGGACTACAAAGGCTCACACGCATGAAACGCCATGCCATGTTGTCCATCGTTCGGTTTATTCCCGGTATACTGTCTAGATGAGACGGTAACATTCAAGTGCGTGACATATTCGCCATATGAAATGTCTGCGTCGTGGTGATTCACATGCAGTTTGGATTCCATTCTTGTTTGTTATTTAGTCATTAGTTACCTTTTATTTCTTAGTTTGAGAATTCTGCGTGTATTTTTTCGAGGAGCAAGGGGAATGTATCAATTTTAGAACACATCCCTCCCGAGCAGATTGAAACTTGACCTAAAATAGCAGAAGTATTTCTGTCAGGTCTATCGACGTTTAGTTGCATATCGCATGCTGTAAAGTAATGACCACTGCCTCGTATAACCAGTTGCCCGAGGCCCTCTAATACGCGAGAGAAAGAAGGAAAACAGTCTTTATATCATTGCAGAGTTTGGCCACTTAGCGCTGTTGGAACAGGGAAAATTATTAGCGATTAAGACCCATGAATAGAGCATATTTCACTTATTTTGAGGCTTTAGTGATGTAGCTATCCATTTTGCTCCATTCCATAGTGTGCCGACGAATCGCAAGATACTATCATGACGGTGAACGGATATTGTAACCCCAGTCTCCGCATTTGCTGATCCCAGCACCCTTCACGTATCATTTTTGCCGATGATAAAACATCATCAAATTATGAGCCTTGAGCAAAGGTTCGAGTTACGGTTTCGGCCGAAGGAGTAATCACGATAAGCTAATGAGTCCGTCCAGGGCAGAAAACCATGGGCTGCTGAAACTGACACGGAGAATCCGCGGTGCATGAAAACTGCCCCTAGGATGCACTCATTCAAGACACCGTGTACTCTATGGCTAATTCCAGCCATTTTAAAGGTGAATGCTGTTTTATCAAAACATTGTGTGACTTCCAGGCATATTGTAGCGAGCACACACTTTACTTTTTCTACGGGTCCGAAGACTGAGTCCTGAGAGAATGGCAGTGCTCTCCAGAAATTGAGTTAGGCATTTATAAATGTATGCACCACCTCTGCATATCCTCGATGTCTATGTGAAAGCAGCATACTGCAACTGTGATTGGCCCTTGTAAATGTGGTCTTACATGATGCAAGCTAAATCAGAAACTATACTGCAAACTTTAAATGTGGTATCTATTCTCGGGTCTGCGCAGAAAAAGAGCCCCGAATCCTCAACTGAGAATCCTCAGTTAACCTTCAGTGCCATAAGATTGAGGGCAGCTGCTTTTTATAGACAGGAACAGTGTAAGAAAATCCTAGAATCAAATGAAGACATCCTGGGAATTTATCCACTATTACCTGGCCAATATGTCTCTTTTTCGGTATATAAATCTCAAGGCCTGGTTCAAACAAGAACATTAGCTGGCAGTCAAGGATGGTTGTGGTTCCACAAAACATCATCAGATCCGTCTTGGTGACTCTTCTTCTCTTTCTCAACTTTGGGAGACTATTTCTTTTGTATTGCATCCAACCACGCTGGCGATGGTATGAAGTCGATTTAGCGCTGTGTGCCTTGTCTTGTAGTTCCTTTGCTATCCTTACTGGGTTGTTCTGGAGCAACAGGTTTCCAGCATGGAGTCAAGTACTCTTTCGGATTACACCAATATTCCCACCACTACAAGCGGTAAGTTGACAGCACACCGAACTCGGTCACATACAATCTTTTCGTTCTGAGCTAACAATGCTGCAGTACATTCGCCTAATCTTCCAGCAGCGCGAAAACCCACTCACACCTCGATTACTGCGTTTCATATGCCCTTCTTTCTCTGTGACTTCAACTTTGGCGAAAATAGCAGTCTCCCTCGTTGGAACCTTCCTTTTTGAATCTGCTCATCTGGGTAGCCTCTATATTCTCTTCGCGGACTACCTTTGTGTAGTTGCATGGTATTGGTGGTTATTTCAACAGTCAACTGCCGGTCGAGTCAAGCTGCGGTGTATCTCGTGTCATCTCTCTGCAATGGCACTTCTATTGCTTGTGATTGCCGTCATTGGTACGTTGGGGAGATCGTGGATGATTGCATTGGAGGTAATTGCAGATTCCAACGTTATACCGTTATACCAATAATGCTGACACTCAACAGGTCGAACTGGTCATCATCGCCATCTGGGCGTCATCCTTGCAGTCAATCCCGTGAGCCAAATAGGTGGATCCTTGGTTATTTCCAACTAGCTTGTGGTATGTGGACCGGTGGCTCAGACAAGACCATTGAAACCAGGAGTTTGTTAATCGTGCTGTCTCTAAAAAATAAAATGTTCACAAGAATCACGCAACAGATCGTTTTAAAGTCTAAATTAGGTATAGAAAAATAAAACATGACGCCCCATGGACTCTATCTACACCGTAAACTGCGTTCTCCTTGCTTCAGTGCATGTAGAGTAGCATGATCTCTTCTCAGAACAACTTGGTGATACACGCTTTGAAGAATATGTGTTTTGAGAGACCCTTGCGAGTTTCGAGAATGGCACGGATAATGGCACACCTATCATGCAAGCAAGCAGCATTAAATCCCAGTACACTTCTTCTGGCCCGTTCTATGCGTCCCAATTACAGTAGACACTTGTATATGCAATTGTATACAACAGTCATCATAAAAGCGTAGAGAATATCCTCTTGTATACTGGCAATTTTCCGTATACCAATCGATAGGATGCCTAGCTGAGCAACCTCCTACATAGAGTCCATGTTTACGGGCTAACTCATCACGCACTGCATTCTCACTCTCATTTTCTTGCAAGTTATTTTTATCTATTCAACGATATAGGAACGTAATTAGAGATTGCAACATGCTACCCTCGGGGTCTTCATGCCTGCCCTATCCTTGTCCGACCCAACAACGTCTATGGGGCTTGGGACGAAGTCGCCGCATCCAATCCAGTCGAATTGCCTCTCGCACCGAAACCGCTCGCTTCCGGCGCGGGCTTTCTTTGGAACCCTTTCTTTGGGGTCTGCCTGACTGTCCTTTTAGGAACGTAACGTGCGAGCCATGAAGCCGATGATGAATCCTCATTTCAAGGATCTTCTTGGCTCGCCGCGAAGAAGGTGGGCTCGATGTGTCAGTGCGAATGTTACGACCGGCATGGAGAGTGATCATGTTTGATGGCAGAAGCTTTGAGGAGTCACACAGTAAGGGCGTCAGATCGTGGGCGCTGGCTAGTCTTTGGCGGCGGGGCCAGCGAGCTGTTGGAGTCATTGCAATTTTAACAGATAGGTGGCACAAATGACATGGAGTCGACCCAACCCTGCCCATTATATATTTGTTTTGCTGGATCTTTGGGGATGTTGTTAGCGAGCCCGACAGTCTGCTCAGTGGCATCAGTTTTCGGGGTTCCGCCGGCACCTCGGAAGGCAGAAATCTTTGGCAGCGTGAAGACGCCCCAACCAAATCACTTCCAGCGTTTGCCGACCTAAACTTAATGATTGAGGATGTATTTGGACAGAAATAGAGGTTAATTTTTCCTGTGTTTTCTTCAGTAGTCCAGTTTACTTGATGAGGTCTCAATAAAAGTTATACTCGACTTTCAACCAAATCTCAACTAATCCAAGTTTCAGCTGAAACTTTATTTATCCAATATGAATGGATACTGGTGGGGCCCCACCCACGGATACCACTTTCGACTTGAGAAAGAACGAATCATCGATCCTACATTGAGCCGGTGTTTTGGCGGAAGGGTCAGTTTCGAATCATATTTTAAATACCCGCGTCACCATTCCCTTGATATTCTTTGAGTGCTAAGGTACCCTACGATGCCTAAACGTAGCAACGAGAAGCGCTTCAAACTGAATCAACAATGCCGAGAAGCCCTAGCGGCCAATATATGTATTTGTGGCCCTCTACTGACAATAACTCAGCTAATACGCCTAGATGACCGACTTGGCATCGTAGTCGCTCCTGAAAAAGTCCGTCTCCAACCGCGACCTGAAGATGGATACGCTTGGTCCGTCACGAGCGCAAATGCTAGTGTGCTCAAATCTAGCTTGAGTAGCGGTAAGATTCATCTTTACCGGAAAATTTGCAATGAGATCGGCCATTCAATCGAGGCTGTTTCCCCGCACGCGTTGGGACACTCACAGTCAAATACGAGCTGTATTCCAAGGGAGGTGAGCATTACTAGACATCCTTATTGATACAGCATTGCTGACAGAGCCTGGAGGCGGAGAGTTTTGGTGACGGAATGGATGGTTCTTTCACAGCAGAGATTTCCAAGCTTAAGGCTGCTAATAGCAGCATAGAAATCGAGTTGGAACGCACTCGTGCCCGACTGAATGACTGTCTTGACCAAAGTCACACGGTCCGGGCTGAGGCCAATGAACTCCGCCACGATATGCAAATTCTTCGGTCGCACAATAAGAAACTGCATGATGAGTTAACAGAGGCGAAGGCGGGAATTGCTGGAACAAGGCGGATATTAAACTCATTGCAAACGGAGGGAATTGGGATCGAACTTGGCACCCGCGATATCCAATCGTCAGCCAATGGCATCCATGAGGTAGCGAGCGAGGTCTTGGATTGACGGGAGCACGCGGCAGAGATCCCATATGCGCTAACAGCCTACTGAGTACCCTAGTTGTCATGCGTCAAAGACAGCGTTAATGTTACACTCCAACAATACGCCTTACAATTCGGTACCAAATTCATCTAAACTCAAATAATCGCCGGTATCGTGATGTATAATATCCATAGACTGTGATCGTGGCCTACCAGGAAGTGAGCCGTAGGAGTCTCAAGCTGGGTGCTTGATAGCAGAACCCTCAACGGGTGAAGGCCGAGACCCATGCCGTAGCTTAAACTGACAATTATAACATGCTCAGGTACCTGCTATGACTGCCGCTTGATTCGTAGCACTGGAGGTTCCTATCTATCCCCCCAAGCATGTCTATGCTATGGTGGACACTAGATTGATACCCTTCCTACTGAGTCTTGGCCGCAAAAAATGCCTTTCCCCCGTGACTCAAGTAACGGCTTGTTAAGGAATCCAGACGTATGGGGACAGGAAAGTGAGAACCCCTAATTCGGAAAGACAACGCCGCTATTTTCTAGGGCTGACCAATGGATAGTCCTGGGAGTCGGCAAACTTCACAAAACATTTGAAAAATGACATTTTACTCTTAGCTCTACACTTTGAACGGGATGTAACCGATTGGTCCTTTCTATCATGAGACAGGATTGTATGCAACAACTACATATTTGTGCGGACCTGTGGCTCGCACCCTCCATAATCGAGCGGTAGGTGTTTTGTGCGTTCGCACTAATGCCCAGTGCTCAGTTTTCTTAGGATTATGACCCTTGTTTGGCATACGTCCTGGGCAGGAGCAAGAGCGGTTTCATTCGGGTTCAAGCCCTGCGCTTGGGTCTCCTCGTACTATATAATTCACCTTCTCGAAACTCACTTCTTGTATTACTTTCAAACTTCCACGTCTCGTTGCGCTATTGTTCATCTCACGATCGAACACACCTAGCATGGCAAAGGATCACAAGGCTTTCCGGGAACAGGCAGACCGCTGTAGCGAAGTACAGCTGCGTGCTGCGCCTTCCTGTTATCCCCTTCGGTCTACTCGGTCTAGATCAAAAGGTGATCGGAATCCTCTCAAACCGGCGACTGGGTTGCACAAGCATACGGTACCCAATCTCTACCTTCCACAATATTTTCTGGATTTGCCTTGGCCAACATTGCCCTGGTGACTACCTTGACCGTACTCCCAACTGACTATGCTAGGCATCCTCCATCACGAGAACACGAAACCCTAGGCGGAAACACGGTAAAGTGTCCCATAGGAAATGTCTTCAGATGATGAGCATCGTTGAGGAAGAGATTCAAAAAGCACAGGAGGAGAGAGAAGAGGAGGGACACAAGCATTGCCAGTTGCTGGAACAACTTAAAGCCGAGAAAGCCGACGAAGCTTCGAAATTGCAGCTGGCTATTACAGCAAGAGATGCAGCATTAGCTGACAATCAACGGGTCAGGCACGATATCTGTGAGTTGCAGCAGCAGATAGAGTCCACAAATGCCGCTCTGCAGGATCAGGTGCCGTGGAATGATATTCAGCTGGTTTTGGATCAGGCACACGGGGACATGGTATCGACGACCACTCGATTTTGGAACACGATCGATGCCCTCCAGAACAGACGACTGGCATCCTATTTGCCAGGCTCCGGGGTGGTTCACGCGGACTGGGCCGAACGAAGCGGCCCGGCTACTCAGGGCCACGATGTTCTCCTCAGCCTCTCTGAATCGAATGTCCCGCTTCCTAGTCAGCAGGAACCGTCCGCGACCAACCAACACGGATCTCTCGTCTGAAAAGAATATCTGCGTTAGACTTGCTGGGCCTTAGTCTCCTGCGTATAAAATTGACTTTTTAATGTAGCCAACGCGCATATAGCTCATGAAAAGGCTTTCTGCAACATTCTCATCTTACCATGCTAAGGGTGGTTTCGACCTATGTTTATTGCCAAGTTCTGTTAATTGCTCTAAAGAATATCGCTAGGCGCCCTAGCCTAAGAGTCGCCAGTACGAGTAAGCACATGCGTCTCAGGTTAGCGGCAGGGTCCACCACACCCTCGGTCGACCAGCTCCAGACTCCTTGGTTGTTTCTTATACGATAAGGAAATGAATGAGGATATAGGGCTGATACTTGTGGAGACGCAGCCGTGGTCAATAGTCTCACACCGCTCAGATACGCTTCAGGAATGGGAAAGGCCTTGGCACGCTGGTCTGCGGAGCTAATATTTATTGTAGTCCATGTAAAGGGAATGAATGTATCTTAAGTAGTCCGATCAGGAGGCTCTGTGGCTATGGCTATAATCGAGAAACCCCCACCGCTCTCGCGCACTACAGTTATTATCTCTTCTTGGCCTTCAGCCAAAGCTTGCCGTTGTATGTCCTGATCTAGCTCAGTCACAAATAGCAATCGCTCAATTACCAGGTTATCGCAAGTCAATAGATATGGCACATTGAACTACTGTACTAGTATCGACCGAAGGATCGCACCTCAATAGTCGCAACCAATGTGCAATCATCTGTTACATGGCGTATAATTATTATGTACTATTGTGGCTTTAGCCTTTGGGGAATGTCTCCAGTTGTACAGACCGTGCACAAGCATACTGGACTAGACAGTACAAATCAGCTGCAATGGTGGAACTAATGAAAGGCTTAAAGTACTCATTTACATATAGTCGCTCGCGACTATAGCCACTCGGCTCGGGCGAGATAGCTTTGGTGTGCACAACCTAGTCAAGCATTGATAAAATCCGAAGACCCTAATACAACGACAAAACGATACATGATTCGCCCTGGCACCAGCTTGGCATTGGGTCAATCAGACCTTTTCCAGTGACTCTCCAACTCAGCGTCCGTGATGAGAGTGTCCATATCCAGTAATATTTTCAGTCGGTGAAACAATCGTATCGACAACTCAAGACCAACACGGATCCATGCCTTTCTCTGGTGTACATGGTCGGATATCAAAATACAGTTTGACTAGCATCACTGCTGCCGACGCATGGATCGCCCAGTCTTCTGGCCCTCTGTAGATTTGTTTGTACCCTGTCCGGTCACCTTCTGTACCTCAGTCTCGACGATTGCCAATCGGCCCAAGATGTCAACCAGATCGTTGCGAACGGTTTCATTCCAGGTGACTTGGTCATGCGATGAGCGCTCAATAGACCTGCGGAGACGGTTAGTGCTTTACATTCTCACTCAGTATCGACCGCAACTCACCCCATTCGGTTATCTAGTCTGGATATTGTTAGCAGGCTAATTCTAAGTTATGTCCGTGTGGGATAGTACTTACTCCGTCAGGCATTCAAGAGCAACCGTATTGCTGTCTCCGGATAGCTGAGTTTGCCCACGTATTTCCAAATCCGTTTCATGTCCAAACACAGTTCTCCGCTGTCGTGCAGCTTCTTGCTCACTCTCATCAGCTGCGTCACTATTTTGCTGGTCGCCAGAGTCGTTTTCCTCCTGAGAAGGTGACTCGTCCCCTGTTGTATCCTCTGTAGCGGAGCACACACTGCCGGTATCCTCAGACTCTAAGGACGACAAAGACAATGCACGTTGCAATCTGCTTCGAAAGTCTGGTCGTCGAAGAGGGCGCGAGGCTTTTCGAATTCCACCCATGTCTGCGTCTTAGTTACGCTGAGGTGAAGAGAGTTCCCACTTCTGGTTGAGTGTGATAGGAGAAAGCACTCCGGCTTTATAGCAAGTTGTATCGCGAGACTAGAATTAAGTGTTGTGCTTGCTCACGATAACGGGAATTTCAAGCGCACGCATTTTTCACCCATGCATTCTGATTCTGCACGTAGATATCTATTCTATTCCTGCATGGCTCACTAAGAGTCGGACATGTTTCAACGAACTGGTGAAACCATGTGATATTGTCAACAGGTGCACGGTGGCCGTTCAACGTTGTTGATTCTCAACGAAACACAGTACATCAAAAGTTGAAGGCTTTTGGCCTTCAGAAGCTTTAGCTGGGCCGAGTCGTGAGAGTCTGGTACCAGTTCACCAAGCTGAGCCATGGCTCATAAACGCAATCGCCATATGTGCAACACTATGATCTTTTAAACTCAACAACCCTTCTCCTCGAATTCACTTTCTGCTGTTTTATTCAACCGTTCTTCCCACTTTTGTGACTTACCCCAGCATCACCATGTCACCACGTAGCGCATGCGGCTGGCCCGAATGGGAAGAGAAAAACCTTCTCTCTTGGCTGGATTCCCGTCGGGGCCTGTCGTGGAAAGCCCTCTCCGACGCATATTATGAAGAATATCAGGTGGATCGAAGCGTTGAGTCTTTACGAGGGAAAAAGTACCATATTCTGCGGAAGCAGCGTCGCACTGGCGCCAAAGTCCCCGGTCGTTCAGGAAAACAAAAGCGCCCAGGCGACATGCGGCGCTCGCTGGTCGATAGCGGTTCACGATCACCCCTGCCAGACAATAACTCTGCCCAAAGGAACATTGATAAATGGTTTCAAACAATTCTAGCGGCCGACCCTAGCCAGTCTGGCGCCAGCGATAAACCAGCTCAAACAGCACGGTCGAAAATACGTATGAAATACTTTTATTCTTCCTATATAAGAGGCTGACCTTTTGCCACAGGCTGCGTGACGCCAGCACCGCTTCCGTACTCGCCTCAAAGAACACGATCGTCGTCCTGGATGTGGGACTATGTACATCGTGTCTGTGCCGCCAGGAAATTGAGATACCGGCGAACAGAACGTCCACACTAGCAGCATGTCATCAGCTGGAGCGCTACATTGCTATGTCGAAGGAACAGTGGCCAACCATTTCGATAAAGCAGTCCTAGTGTATGTTATCACCATAAAGGCAGTAATTACTCGACAATAGATCCTCAGCAAGAGAGATATGTATCACTCCATGGATTTCGTATAGGAAGGAGCAATTACCCTTATTTGGAATTACAACAATAGTGAGGAAGTTCCAAAGTCAAAGGTGAACATTTGAGCATGATAGCGGTGCCTCTGAGCAGGCCCGGCTACACAGTTTCATCCTTGTCATCATAAACCAGGGGCATGGCCCATGTGGCCTGCAAAATACTGCGGGCAGTGTATAAGGATTCACGGTACTATGAGTGTTCCCATAGGGAGATAGGACAGGGTAAGAAGGGGTCTCTGGGACTGAAAGTATCTGGAACCTTGTTAGCTCAAGAAATATGCCTGGTTGGGCTTGATTGAATCGGCGGTCGAAAACAGAGTGATCTATGGAGTGAAGCGTCCGATTTGCTTTTGACCCACGCCCAAGTCACAAGGAAATCAAAGTTTGACAGACTGCGGAACCACGAGCGGGACTGCCGTAATAGCGGGACCGCAAATCATTTCGAGAGCTCATTTGGATGAACCATGGAAATGCTCGCCCGGTGAGAGAATGCGGTTGTAATGAAGAATTCAAGCCTGGGTTCCTGCCTACTTTCTTTCTGGGCTGCTCGTAATTAAGCCTTGCAGCCCGAAAGAAAAGAGAACTAGAGCAGAACCACCACAATCTCCGTCGGCTAGTATGTAGGATAAATTTACTGCGGTAAGGCCAATATTTTGGTAGAAGGTTTCTTTAAATTCAGCATCTTGATCAAGATGTGCAGATCGATTGAAATAAGGTTTAGGGCCGCAGGAGGGCCGGTCCACATTGAAATCTTGTCCGGGGGCCAATCGGTTTTAGTAAAACGGAGACATTTTATTTAAGCTCATGTGGTTTGTCCATAATTGGCATAATCCTTTACAAGCCGTCTGCTAGAGTTATTGAAATAGCGGTAGATTTGAAGAGATGGAGAGGAAGCGTTGTTATGGCCCAAAGAGAGCAATAATCATCGGGAAAAAGGCTTATTGCAGAAGAAGATACGTAGCTTCTGGAACGTTCTACAGACCAGATAGGCAAAGTTCTGCTTGCCACTTGACAGGGGAATTTACTTTCTTCCACTGCGACCAAGTGAACACAACCACGGATCGAGTTGTAGCCTACCATTCTGTCGCCAAAGTCTGCTGTTATTCCAAATACTCGCCCGCCCCAGCAGTACCTCCTAGGCAACAAAGTCCCGTTCCATCGGACACTGATGGCCGAAAGCTTTGGGCTTGTGGATCGTGTCTGGACCTTTGCAATTCTTTCCAATTTCTCTCCGGGCCACAATTAGAACCTCCCTGATCTACTGTCCCCTGGGTCGTCGCTGAGATCTGCATCGCAGAACCCTACCTGCGTCTGTCTGAATTCACGCGTGGTGTTTGATTGGCCGGTCGGGTGCTTTTCGTCTCCAGGGTCTCATCAGTGTAATAGTAGCGTTGCAATCTTGCGAGGGGGTGGCGATCACGAGAACCTAGCTCGTGGGCCTTGGTTGCATCAGTTCACA